TGCGGTGGCCGGGAGCGGCCACTGCACTCTAGTCTGGGTGACAGAGTGAGACTCCAACTCAAAAAAAAAAAAAAAAAAATATTAAAAATCTAAAACACCTCTGGTTTCAAGCATTTTGGAGAAGGATATTCTATCAATACAGTAAATGCTGTTTTAACAATGTCAAACCTAACGCTGTGGATTAAATGACAGTGTCAATTTCAAACGGACATACTAACTTGATGCTCATGAAGTGTCAAGCACGAGTGGGCCACTCTGGTACTCTGAGTACCAGGGCATTTCTGCTTCCATGAGTTGAACTGTCTCTTAAAAAGAACTGGTTGTGGGCAGGCAGAGTGGCTCACACCCGTAATCCCAGCACTTTGGGAGGCTGAGGCAGGAGGATCACTTGAGGCCAGGAGTTCAAGACCAGCCTGTGCGACACAGCGAGATCCCATCTCTACAAAAAAATTTTAAAATTAGCTGGGCGTGGTGGGACGTACCTGTAGTCCCAGCTACTCAGGAGGCTATGGTGGGAGAACTGCTTGAGCCCAGAAGTTCAAGGTTACAGTGAGCCATGATTGCACCACTGCATTCCAGCCCAGGTGACAAAGAGAGACAATCTCTAAAAAAATAAATATTTTTTAATTAAAAAAAAAAAACAACCATTGTGTTGTTCATAAACCTGTATATACCACTGCATTTTCAGTTTCAATTGTGGAATTAAATAAACATCACATAAACCAATAAAATTAATGCAAAAAAAGTAAAAGTAAGTTACTGAGTCTATGAAAACAAAATTGAATGCTTTGGAAGTATTTGATAAAGCTTAAAAAACTGTATGAGTGAGCAACCATAGAAGAATGGGAAAAACTGTAAACCTGTAGGAGTCGGTATTCAAATTGTTTTAAGAAAGTGTTTACAATTTTGCTTTACTTTAAAAAACAAAGTTTAAATTGTAGAAGATGCATTGTGGGTGTAGTTTATGGAGGGAAAATAAGCTACTCCAACAGTGAACCCAGAGTGAAAGACAAGGCCTTAGTCCCCCATCAGAAGATTGCAAATGAATATATACTGAACACATCTTATATTAAAATAAAAAATATGGATGGATAATTTTTATAATTTCTCATTTTCACTTTTTAAAAAAAACTGCACACATTTAAGGTGTGTAACATAATATACTTATGGTGAAATGGTTTCTATAGTCAAGCAAATTAACATATCTATCATCTTGAATAGTGACCCTTTTTGTGTATGAGATAAGGGCACCAAAAACCCACTTTTACTTTTGATTAATTAAAATTACTAGTATAGAAAGAATGTAGTTTGTTGGGTTTTTTTTGAGTAGGTGTCTCACTCTGTTACCCAGACTGGAGTACAGTGGCCGCTCCCGGCCACTGCAGCCTCAACCTGCTGGGCTCCGGTGATCCTTCGGCCTCAGCCTTCCAAGTAGCTGGAACTACAGGCGTGTGCAACCACACCCGGCTAATTTTTTTGATTTATTGTAGAGATGAGGTCTCGCCAAGTTGCCCAGGCAGGTCTCGAACCCACGGGCTCAGGCAATTCACTCACCTCGGCCTCCCAAAGCACAGGATTACAGGCTGAGCCACCAAACCCGGCCAGAATGTAGTTTTTTAAAAAAATAAATAAAGAGACTAGACTGAACAGGATTGAAGAGTTTTGTTACACAACTAGCTGCTCAAAACAGATAATAGATAAATGCTATCTGACTCTCAGAACAAGTTGCCTGGGCGAAGACTGAGAAATGAATCGGGAATGAGCAGGGATTTTGGATTCAGCAGACCTGTCTCTGTCACTTACTAGTTGTGAAACCATGAGCACATTAGTTAATGGTTAAATCTGCTTTCCTAGCCGGCTTGGTGGCTCAGCCTGTAATCCCGCGCTTTGGGAGGCTGAGGTCAGTGGATTGCCTGAGCCCGCGGGTTCGAGACCCACCTGGGCAACTTGGTGAGACCTCATCTCTACAATAAATCAAAAAAAATTAGCCGGGTGTGGTGGCGCGCACCTGTAGTTCCAGCTACTTGGAAGGCTGAGG